AGGATGTCTACTGCTGGCCTAGGTCTGATCCCCATGGCATATATGATATCCACATAGAGTCCTAATATTATTTTAGGCATTTTAACAAAAACAATATTATGTGGGATTGGGCCTAAGCTAGCAGTTGGACATCTCCCGAGGGGTTCTGGACTGTGAGAGGGCGCAGGCCAGGCTGAGGGACCCCCGTTCCCAGTGCACTAATTTCGTGCACTGGGCCTCTAGTTTTTAATATAACAGGCAGGCAAGAATGAGGAGGAGATAGGTAAAACATGAGCTAACACTGTTCAAGTAAACCTTTATTTTTCATTTTATTCTACTGAATTTATTCCAGGCTATTCATAAATATGTATATTAGCCTTCTTCATTATTTTCCCAGTAATAACTGTCTTCAGATATACTGTTTGCTAAAATATGCATTGGTCCAGAGCAAATTATATTTTGAAAACATTTAATGTAATGGAAATCATTAGAACCATGAGGCTTACAAGAAATGTTTAGAAAATCCACTTAAATCTCTGTACATTTTTAAAGTAAGAATTCCTGCTATACAAAGATTATTGGGTCAACATTTACATTTAAATAGAGATATGTAATTATAAAATACTAGAGGCCCAGTGCACGGATTCATGCAGCAGTGGGATCCCTAGGCCTGGCCTGCACCCTCTCGCAATCTGGGATCCCTTGGGGGATGTCAGAAGCTCGGTGCATGGTTTTGGCCTGATCTCTGCAGGCCTCTAGTATGTATATAAGATTTTTGGTTAATCTCTTCCCACCCTCACCACTCCCCCCTTCCCTCTGAGATTCATCAGTCTGTTCCATGTTTCCATGCCTGTGTGTTGAGCATCTGCCCTCTGGTGGTCAGTACACATCATAGTGGATGGTCAAATGGTCGGACAGTTGCTTAGGCTTTTATACATATACTAGAGGCCCGGTGCACAAAAATTTGTGCACTCGGGGGGGGGGGGTCCCTCAGCCCAGCCTGTGCCCTCTTGCAGTCTGGGACCCCTCAGGAGATAACGACCTGCTGGCTTAGACCTGCTCCTGGGTGGCAGAGGGCAGGCCCAATCCCTAAGTGCAGCCCCTGGTCAGGCTCAGAGCAGGGCTGATTGGGGAGTTGGGGCGCCGCCCCCTGTCATGCACAGAGCAGGGCAGATTGGGAGGTTGCGATGCCACCCTCAGTCACGCTCAGGGTGGGCCCGATTGGGGTTGGGGCACCGCCCCTATCACACTCAAAGCAGGGCCGATGGGGAGGTTGCGGCGCCACCCCCTGTCACACACAGAGCAGGGCCAATCAGGGGATTTGGCACTGCCCCCTGTCATGCACAGAGCAGGGCCCATCAGGGGGTTGGGGAGCTCCCCCCTGTCACGCACAGAGTAGGGCCGATAGGGGAGTTAGGGCACCGCCCCCTGTCACACACAGAGCAGGGCGGATCAGGGGGTTGGGGCGCCGCCTTCTATCACCCACAGAGCAGGGTCGATCAGGGGGTTGGGGCGCCGCCACTGTCACACTCAGGGCAGGGCCGATGGAGAGGTTATGGCTCTACCCCATCACACACAGAGCAGGGCCTGTGTGTGTGTGTGTGTGGGGGGGGGGGTTGGGGCGCCGCACCCTGTCACACACAGAGCCGCAGGGCGATCAGGGGGTTTGGGCATTGCCCCCTGTCACGCTGATCCGGTGCCAAGAGGCCTCACAGCTCCGCTGATCCCGGTGCTGGGAGGCATATTACCCTCTTACTATATAGGATAGAGGCCTGGGGGCCGGCTGGTTTGCCCTGAAGGGTGTCCTGGATCAGGGTGGGGGTCCCCACTGGGGTGCCTGGCCAGCCTGGATGAGGGGATGATGGCTGTTTGCAGCTGGTCACACACCCTTCAGGGTGGGGGTCCCC